GGGGGGGAAAACCCCAAAAAAAAAAAAAAAAAAAAAAGATTTGGTTGATTTTACACCGCTGTCGCTTCTCTCTTTCCCCCTGTTTCCCCTGTTTCTCTCTCTCTCTTTAACGGCGTCGATTGCAATTGTGTTGTTTGTTTGTTTTTTATTAATTAATTAATTATTTATTTATTTATTTATTTCCGGCATGTCTTCTTAAATATTTGCCTTTTGTTCTGTTTTTTTTTTGTTTTTTCTTCCTTCTATTTGATTTTATTTTTTTGGTTTTCAGCGCGGGGATTCTCGCAAAAAAAAAAAAAAAAGGGACACCGGAACGAAATGCGGCTCAATAACCCCTTTCTCACGCAGAGGGATGAGATGGAAATGGGCGGGGAAAACGGCAACCGACGGTCCCTGCAGGAGAATTTGGAAAGATGTTTGCATTCGGAGGGCGGGGACGAATTACCCGTCGACGAGGAGGATGAGGATGACGGTGGAGATGCGAGCAATGATGACTGCCCAACACCACCGTACGTGCCGTGTCGCTATCAGTTTGGTCTCTCCGCAGCGGCATTTGTGATCCGTCTGGATTAAATGGACCGTCAGTTTGGTGAGTAGCCGAGGAAGTCCGCTGTGTGTTATTGTCTGTTTGTGTCTGGTCTGTGCCTCTTGGTCCCCTCCCAATCCCCCCTTTTTCTTTTTTTTTTTTTGCTCGTGTTTGTCTACATGCGTCCTGGTTGCAGGAGGAGCGGCCGGCAAATGGCAGAGCGAATCTCGTTTCATTCTTCCCATGAAATGCGGCCCTCTCTCTGGGCGCTGCGTTGCATTGCTCTTCACCCCGCCGCCCTTACTTGTGTGGCGCTCCATCAGTTGATTGTTGTGGCGGAAGAAAGACGACGACAATCCACCAGCGATCATGACAGGGAAGTTGAGGTGCTGTTGAGCCGTCTTCTGGAGTGGCCACTTCCAGTCCTGACTCGCTGCGCCTCTACCCTCCACGTGTTGCGAGGCGTTGTGCGGGGGTGGATCAGCACGGCTCAGGCGAAAGCACCTCCTCCAGCCCGATCTCAGTTGTCGGCGTCTCCTGCAACGCCTTATCGAAGACTTTACAACATCTGCCTCTGGCAACGGCGCTACCCACTATTTATTCTTACTCCTGTGCTTGACGCGTTTGGAGAGCGGCTGTCATGTCAGGCGCTTAATGACATGTTGGAGGCACTTTCAGGTTACATTTTGGGTCCTTTGAGCGATATTCCTCACTTACTACGATGTGACGTGCTTATGACATATCACAGGCTTCCATTTCATCAACAACTGCAGCTGATGCAGTCCTTTCGCACGGGCTATGCGCTTGAAGAATGTGAGGCACCACCACCACCGGAGTTGTACATTGGAGAACACGTGCGTCACGTACCGCCGCGCTTTGGATCACATAATATCAGTGCCGAGCAATATGCGGAGCTGCGGCGAGCTTTCGAGCTGCACAAACGGGCAGGAATAAGGCGACTTCTTGCATGTACGCCTTAATCTCTTTGCGTGTTTTATGTTTTGTTGTTTTTTTATTATTATTAATTTTTTCCTTCCCTCTCTCTCTCTGTGTGTGTGCGATTTTTTCTTTTGTTTTTTTTTTTTTTACGTGTCATTTGATTGCCGTTCAAATGCAACAACAGATTTGATTTGAATTTTGTTTTTGTTTTTGTTTGTGGTGGGTGGCGGGGAAAGGGGATGTTTAAGACATGTGCCTTATGTCACTCTCTTTCCGCAAATATCCCAGCATGTGCATACATGCATGTACGTGTCTTTGCTGAGAAACAAATAATAAAAATAAATAAATAATTCTTAAAGAAAGACGAGGATGATTCTGTCAATATGTGATGCGTTTGTCTTTTTTTTTTTTCTTTTTTTTTCCTCTTTTTGACTTTCCCACTGGCGCCGATGTCTTCTATTTTTTAAAGAACGGCGTGACAGCGAGGTCGCGGTCCAACTTTCGGATATCAGACAGGTTTTGTGTACACATTGGCATTGGCATCGTGGCGGGGGAGGATTGGGGAAGAGGACTTCTTTGAGGCTGCGGAAGCGAAGTGGCGACATAAACACACACACGAAGCAGCACCGTGTGCCTCATTCACTCCGTTACACGTGCCGTTTGTTGGGTGACATAAAGGAAATATATATATATCCTAGCAATAAGGGGGAGGAAAGGGGAGAGAGAGAGAGAGAGAAAGAAAGAAAAAACACACGAGACATTGTGAAGAAAAAAGATGCAGACGGTCATTCAACAAATTCATCAGGCCAATTTGAAGGCCGTCCTGCTGAGTAGAATTAATCTTTTCTTTATTATATTTAACTGTGTGGCGATGCTGATTTTTATTGTGACGTGGTCCGTGTCGATTGCAAAAGAAGGGGGTGGGGTACTGGCGCGCTATGCGGCTTGCATTATCTCCTTTATTCTCCTTGCCGTGGCCACGTTTCTCTCGGCGATGGTGCACCGCAAGCAGCCACAGCTGCTACTGTACTACGCCCATGAAGCCATCTCGATCCTTGCCCTCATCCTCACCGCCATCTCAATGGGCACCAACGACGTGGTGGTGGACCTCTGCAACACGAAAAGGGCTCTGTCAAACACACAGTGCGGCTCGCACACAGCGGAACT